TTTCAAAGTTCAAGATTATAGATGCTATGAACTTCTTTATGGTGCTTGTTTTGAAATGCCAAACACAGTTCAACCACTTTATGTACTAGTGAATGCTCCAAGCAGTGTTAGCTTCAGGCGATTATCATGTTGTCAATGAATGTTGTCGATCGGATGAATGACTGTGATTGTCAAAACTCTCTCAAGCATCAACAACACAACCACGATTAGCACATACTTGACATGCGATCTGCGAAATACAGCACATTTGTCTATAATCAACATGAAAGCGGGGCACACTTATGTATATTTTTCCAGCTACTTTGGAACAGAAGGATTCGTGAGACGTCCCCGCGCTATTATAAATACAATGGTATAAATGTCGCTAACTCGTAAAATGCGTGACCGATCGAAGGTGGTGTGCGTGTTGCCTGGAGGGCAAAAGTATTGTGTCATAATCTATTCAAGTAGTCTCCTTCGCATCSCTTKTCGTTTCRGGCTTCTTGTCCTTCCCCTAATTTTTTTTAATTTTCCTGTAAAGAACACCTATGTAAAACAATRCTTTTCAACAGAAATACTATCGATTTAAAATTATTAAGAATTTATGGGATTATCAAGGCTTAATACGTTTAAGAATGTTCATTAAGAWATAAMTACAAAAAACTTTGTTTTAAGATCGAAATGAAGTTTCAATGAGTTAACAATGATAAATGCTATATAACTTCATTGTGCGGTGCTCGTTTTGCAATGCCAGACTATTTTTTCAACCGCACAGTTTTCTTTTAGTGAATGGTACAAGCATTGTTAKCTTCAGTCGATTATATTGTCACCATCTTTGTTGCTTGACAGTCCTGTGTTCTTATCGAGAAAACATTTTCATATAGCGGCTAAGTCATAGCACAAGACCTGAGGATGCAGAGGACAGCAACAGAAAATGAGAGAATTGTATGGAAGAGTTTGTTCAAGCAGTTTAAAGTTTCTATGTTGTTTTCTAAGCGGACGGACAATAGCATGCAGAAGACATTGTCGACAATGATGCACAGAGCATTCATCACATTTTGTGTTGTAATGTAACAACTTCGTTGTCCCGAGTTTTGGTCGTCGTCTGCTTCTTTGAACCATACATGCATCAAAATTGCGATAAATCGGTTGACGATGAGGGTACCAACGATTCCGAAATGTATGAAGATATACTAGAAGCCATATGAGATAACATTAACCTTCATAACCCATGGCACTCATGTCTTCATCTTTGTTGCTTATGAGTCCTGTGTTCTCATCCARATCGAGAAAACTTCTTCCCGTGTCTAAGTCATACCACAAGTAGCGAGCGGGGATGCAGAGGACAGCAACAGAAAACGAGAGCATTGCATGGAAGAGTTTGTTCAAGAAGTTCAAAGTTTCTTCGTTGTTCTCTAAGCGGACGGACAATAACATGAAAAAAACGTTGACGAGAATGATGCACAGAGCATTCATCACATTTTGTGTCGTAATGTAACAACTTCGTTGTCCCGAGTTTCGGTCGTCGTCTGCTTCTTTGAACCATACGCGCATCAAAATTGCGATAAATCGGTTGACGATGAGGGTACCAACGATTCCGAAATGCACGAAGATGTACCAGAAGCTATATGAGATAACATTAATCTTCATATCCAATGGCACTTGTTCCTTGTTGGCTGTCGTTTGATTATGGCAACTTGAGCAAGCATGATCGTTGTCGTTGTAAAAGACAATTGGCAACCCTTTTCTTGAAGAGTATAAAATTGGAAACTCTACGGCTGTACACACGACTAATTCTGTAAAGATTATTACTAAGGCCATTTTGAAGGGAAGCCTCCATGTTGATGTCAATTCAGCATGCTTTACGACCAACAAAACAGCAAGGTTGGACCAGGCGAATGATAACATGTAAACCATGGTCGTGGGAAGTAAAATGCGACAACTCTGAGGCAACAAATTTGCAAATTCAAGAGCAAGACTACACGCTATAACGATGAGAGAAAACAAATATTGGGTAACCATAAGAAACTTGACGCTTCCTTGTCTTTGCCAGTTGTTTTTCCGACAGGAAAGGCACAAAGAGAAAGCGTTGAGAACAGTTCCTACGATGTAAGGCCAAATCATCCTGTTATGCTAGCAGCTTTCCGTCGAGTTTCTAGATTAAGAATGAATGGATCGTCTCGCAATACTTGTTTCCACAGTTGCCTCAACAATCTGAATAATAATTTACGATGTTTGTTTGAATTTTTAACTAGTTTCAGTACGCGAAAACTAGAAAGTGTTTTGCATAGATGTATTTTCCCATATTCGAAACTTCACTAACGATTTCAGAGTATGTATACAGTGTAATTGTATGGACGACTGGTTCCGTGATAAGGTGAAGCTATCGCCAGGACATGTGCTCAGGCCAATCAGCATAAACATAAATGAAAACAATACACCTTAATATTTCAAGTACCGTTGTCTGAGGCAAAAATGGACTATGCACGACTGAGAGGCATTATGGGTATCGTATATTACTATGAAGCCATGGGAAAAAACTTTATGAAGTCTACGAGGAGATAAAATTGAGCAATAATAACWCGTTCTAGGGTATTTACTTCCACTGGGTCGAACGAATCAATGACAAAACTAACGCTGGTCGTGCCCAAACTAACGGCTCAGTGCATCTCTCGTGATCACAAATTCAGAATTCGAGATCGAAGCTAGTAGTTCAAACCCCTTGGGCAAAACACCCTTAACATAACATCAAATTGAAGAAACTATCGAAGCTATGTCACAAACTGATCGGAGGATTTGAACATTACCATAGAGAAAAATTGTTTTAATAAAGATAATATCAACCAGAACGACGTTCTAGTCTGCCTCACATCCAGACAAACTAACTACTTGGCATGTAAATATTCATTTTCAGACCCAGAAAGCTAGAAGTTTCGGCCTTCTTGTCTTTCCCCTCAAAATAAAACGGCTGCTCTCTTGAGGCCAAATTAGCGAAATTTTTTTTATCGTCCTGTAAAGAATGTCTATAAATTTAAGGATCGTTTTAAAAATACTAGCGCTCGAAAATTAGTAAGAATGTATGGGRCTATCACAGTTCAATGCGTTTTAGACGTGATTAGTCAAGAAATACGTACACAAAACTTTTCGAACTTTGTTTTAAGATCCAAATGAATTTTGTCCAATGCCTAAATAAACATATAATTTCCATCAGGTATGCAAAGTTCGAGGACAAACTGCATGTGATTTGTSTTAATATTGTACACCAACATGGCGGACAATATATTAATCCGAGTGCCGAATACTCCAGTTTTGAATTCTYCTTTGTGCAAGCTTAGCTTCAATTGAGCGTAAATTGATATTGCCTTCTTTGTAGACAGAGTGTTTGCATTACAATAGCCGATCTCTGCTGAATAAATAGAAGATATTACATGCTTTCGAGGTGAAAGTCTATATAAAGGAATTTTTTTATGTTTCCTAAAGATAGTTTACCAAGAACAACTATGTAAAATAGAAGATATTACATGCTTTCGAGGTTAAAGTCTATATAAAACCAAAATTATGAACACAATGAATAATTGCTATTTATGCCACGACTAGATTGTTTAAATAACTTACTAGGCAAACTGCGAGCACGTAATCTCGTTTGAGGCTAGCCACGAGTAAAGCTCAGGTATCTCTTACAGTTGTATAAAGAGAAGGGATTGGCTAAGTCCGCCCCCTTTGCTCCTAGCTATCCAGCGAGAACACGACTTTGTGCGTCTGAATTTTCCCTCCTCCTGCCCCAGCTGCCTACTGAGTTTTTAATTTCGTTAAACTTAATTAGGTGGCGTGTATCTATCTCCACCTTTGTCGAATGTAATAGGTATTGATAACTATCCGTCCTCTAGTCGACGGTCTTAATTGTTATTGTCATTAAAGGTCACTTACGTGACATTTTATCCCAACATCAAGGGTTGCGTGTTCATTCGACAAAACAAGCTCGCCGCCGACACATAGAACTCAATTATGACCATTATTCATAGAATCTAATCGTGGCATAAAGGAATTTTTTTTATGTTTCCTAAAGATAGTTTACCAAGAACAACTATGTAAAACAATGCTTTTTAACAGAAATACTATCGATTTAAAATTATTAAGAATTTATGGGATTATCACGGCTTAATGCGTTTAAGAATGTTCATTAAGAAATACCTTACAAAAAACTTTGTTTTAAGATCGAAATGAATTTTCAATGAGTYAACAATGATAAATGCTACATAACTTCATTGTGCGGTGCTCATTTTGCAATGCCAGACTATTTTTTCAACCGCACAGTTTTCTTTTAGTGAATGGTGCAAGCAATTGTTAGCTTCAGGCGATTATCATGTCGCCATCACCTTTGTTGCCTATAGTAGCGGCTAAGTCATAGCACAAGACCTGGGCGGGGATGCAGACGACAGCAACAGAAAATGAGAGCATTGTATGGAAGAGTTTGTTCAAGTAGTTTAAAGTTTCTACGTTGTTTTCTAAGCGGACGGACAATAGCATGAAGAAGACGTTGACGAGAATGATGCACAGAGCATTCATCACATTTTGTGTCGTAATGTAACAACTTCGTTGTCCCGAGTTTYGGTCGTCGTCTGCTTCTTTGAACCATACRYGCATCAAAATTGCGATAAATCGGTTGACGATGAGGGTACCAACGATTCCGAAATGCACGAAGATGTACCAGAAGCTATATGAGATAACATTAATCTTCATATCCAATGGCACTTGACTCTTGGCCGTAGTTTGATTATGGCGTTTTTGGCAAACACCGTCGTCGTAAACGGCAATCGGGAACCCTTTTCTTGAAGAGTATAAAATTGGAAACTGTAGTGCTGTGCACACGATTATTTCTGTAATGATTATCAGTAAGGCCGTCTGGAAGCGAAGCCTCCATGTTATTGTCAATTCAGCATGCTTTACGACCAACAAAACAGCAAGGTTGGACCAGGCGAATGATAACATGTAAACCATGGTCGTGGGAAGTAAAATGCGACAACTCTGAGGCAACAAAWTTGCAAATTCAAGAGCAAAACTACACGCTATAACAATGAGAGCAAACAAATATTGGGTAACCATAAGAAACTTGACGCTGTTTTGTCTTTGCCAGTTGTTTYTCCGACAACTAAGACACAAACATAAGACATTGAGAAAAGCTGCCAAGATGTAGAAGGAGACAATACTAAAGTTATGACAAGAAATCATTTTAAGTCGAAAGTGGCTCTCTAGACCGCAAGAGAAAATTAAGTCCTTGCGTGAGGAGTGACGAGCGCTTGAACTCGGTTTGGTTGTTTTGGTGGAAAAGTCGCTCTCCTATTGGTTTAAGGTTGCCTAACCAACCAGAGAAAAACAATAGCAAAAAACAATAAAATATACATGGGAGGTTGGGAAATGAATTGCTTTGATTGCAGCGTACATGAATCAGGACACTGACTGCTTTCATTAGTTCTAAACGWTTATTGAAACGCTCGTACGTGGGAAATTTAACTTGACAAACGGTGTGTGTAGAAATGGTGTTAGGTAAGTGTCTTGCTATCCTGAAGTTTTAAGAAACTTTGTCTAAGAATACTGGCTGTTGCAATTTTGCTCTTGTCAACTACTGCGGACTTCAGTCTTAAAATCAAAATAACAAGCAACTTGTTTTCGCTGTTTTGCATGCTGGGCCATCTTTGAAGACTCCTTCGTTATCGATTACCACTCCTGGYCRTAGTGTCACATACTGTAACATATTTGTACGATATCTGTTTTGAAATGCAGGACTTTTTGGTCAGCCACTTCATGGAGAAATTCTTGCAGTCTCATTTTTAATGACCTGTCAGGCAACCAGAAACGAAATTACATTGTTGCTGCACATTGTTGACTTTCTTAGGTTTTGGCCGTGGAAAGTAGTTTCCGATCTTATTCAATGGTTCATGCGCTATTTCAAGAAACCTTTTTTCCCCAGAATCAAACAAAGTACTATGAGTCGAGAATTGTGCTAATAAAATCCGAAAACATTTGTGTATTGTGACTTAAAGAAGCTCAAAACAAGTTCTCTAAGCTAAAACTGAGCAGGGGGCCTTACTTTTGAAGTAGACAACTGGCCAATCAGAAAAACAAGTGCAACATACAATCCCAAACCGTGACTTTACATCGAAATGATAAAAAACTTCTCTTAATTCACCGAAGAAAAAAGTCTAAATTATAAGGCAAAGCCGTTGGCGTTCATGATTGGAGGATTGAAGGTAAACTTTGTATTCTGACTCAATAAACCATGGGGAAAGTTTGACTAACATCATATTCCCGGACCCGAAAAAGCTTTGTATTTCTTCGTCGTTATTTATAAACAATGAAACAGTTTAAGAGGATGGTGGTTTGCAATTTATCGAAGGGAGATTGCAGGAATGAAAGAAAGCTGGAGTATCTGAGTGTTGTAGTTTAGAAAGGCGCAAGCAATTCACAAGTTCCTCATATATATACTGATTCCAAGCGTTCAGACTTGGATAGTTGGATTTGGTCGGATGATCTCCATTATAGTCAATACCCCTATCATTAAAAGAACCTTTTCTGAAATAGTTATATGTGTCTTGCATAAGCTTTAGTTATAATGTTAGGTTCTTTTGTTAAAACAGCCGTCCACATTTTTTTTTTTGGAGATCCAGGAACTATATCGGCCGAGCATTCGATCGTTCTTAATTGCACCTTAATTTTACTATAGATTTATATAACATATATTTGCACTTTAATATAAAAGTTTTTTTCATTATAATTACAGAGCAGTATAAGAACTGCTAAATAATACTAATCAATGATAATTCAAGTGTTTACTATGTTTAGTTAGAACCGCTATTCTCAGTTGTAAATAACTCAATTAGTGTCTTTTTTAGTCTATTTTTCAAGTTAAAAGTCGTATTCTGCAACTTGTTTTGTACAGTGCTTGGTTTGAAATGCCAGGCTATTTGCTCAACCACTTTTTATCGAGTGAATGCTCGAGGCAGTGGTAGGTTTAGGCGATTATCATGTCGTCATCTTTGTTGGTTGACAMTCCTTTCTTCTCATCCAGATCGAGAACGTAGAGGGGTCGTTCAGCAATAGCCATTTTAAAAAACAGGTAGTGAGAGGGAATGCAGAAGAGTGCGATGGAAACCGATCTCATTGAGTGTAAAATCGAGTTTAACAACTTCAAATTYTTTTCGTTGTTCTCTAAGCGAGTTGACAATAGCATGAAGAAGATACTGACAAGAATGATGCACAGACCATTAAACACATGCTGTATAATAATGTAGCAACTTTGWCGTGGTTTTTGCTCGTYGTCTGCTTCTTTAAAACATAAATGCATCGATATTGCGATATATCGGTTGATGATKAGGGTACCAACGATTCCGAAATGTATGAAGATGTACCAGAAGCTATATGAGAAAACATTAATCTTCATATCCAATGGCACTTGTTCCTTGGTCGTTTGAGGACAACAACTTGGACAAACAGTACGGTCGTAAAAGAATATAGGCGATCCCTTTGTTGCAGAGTATAAAATTGGAAATTCTACTGATACACACACGGCTAATTCTGTAAGAATTATCAGTAAGGCCGTCGTGAAGCGAAGACTCCATGTGGATGTCACTTGAGCATACAGTACKATCACCAAAACAGCGAGGTTAAACCAGGATAATGACAAGTTGAACATCAAGATCGTGGGAAGTACAAAACAGTAACTTTTAGGTAAAAAATCAACAAATTCAATAGCTAAATAAAATGCAATAACGACGAGAGAAAACAAGGCTTGTGTAACAATAAAATACTTAATGTTACATARTTTTTGCCAGTTGTTTTTCCGACAATAAATACACAAAGGCAATACGTTGAGAAACGCTCCCATGATGTAAATCCAAAGCATGATTGTATATCCGTTGAGTTTCGTTGTGTTTCTAGSCTATAAAAAARGAAACTGCCTGCTATTTTCAGTTAGTTGAACGACTACTTTCATTTACTTGGAGCTGTCGTGACCGAAGCCGCTTCGCTTTGTTGGGTTTCCACGGTCACGGTGCAACCAACCAGCATGCCTCCCGCTGTTTGTCACGACATTTAAATTTCTCAACAATTTTGTTTTGACGCATGGTGTGTGGTGAGCACGCGTGTACGTGAGTAGTTGTTCACAGGTAGACTATTCACAAGAAGTTCAGGCAATGTATCAGTGGCGCTTTCTGCATGCACACTTTRCAGTGAATGCAAGGCTGTTAGAAGTAAAAGTAATCTAATAAACTTAAAAATAACAACAACCAYAATGTCCGTGATGTCGTGACAAAAGTTCCATAACTTCTAACAATTSATAATTGATTGTGATTGAGTAGCACCATCTCTCAACCATTATTTGGCTCGTTCTCAGGTTTCCCCCTGAAACCTTTGAACGAGGCTAAGTAACACATGCGAAAAGAGATTGGTGATTGACTTTTCYCGAGAAAAACGAAACSAAACCTCAGGAGGAGCCGACGGGCTCTGTTCTTGTAAATACTGTTCTTGTACGAATTTTTTCCTRGGAWAGCAATGTGGATTTTGAGGTACATTGTTGACAATCTCACAATCAAATGTGTCGCCCTTCCTTCTTTAAAATTAGTTTGTTCCTGGAAAACGTTTAAAAAGGCTTATATAACGTTTTTATGGTCAAAAATTCCTTATATTTCTTTTAGTTAGGAAATTTTTATTTTCCTGTCAAAAATAATTAGGAAGTATTCCTTCCCTGGAGAGTTCTTTTTTCCTGAATTTCCCGCTGGAAACCGGTTGTGACTTACAGATGGCTGAGACATAAGAACAGTTATATTTCTCCCAGGAAACCGCCGGCTCCTCCTAAAACCTTCCTYCGAAGCGCCAACAATACAACCACGATTGACATATAGTTAATTTATTATCAGCAGGATATAACCGATGTATCCATAGTAACGAAACACACTATATGCTAATCACTACAGCTGCATAGACCAGTAAACGGCCAACGCGTTGTTATAGACCTTTCAACCCAATTTAAACCACCCCGGAGTAAGTTTCATTGTTCGTGAAAGAGAACTGCGAGAACGTTTATCATTTTACTAATGTAGATATTTTGGTCTTTATCGAAAGGCCATCGACTATAAGAATATACTGATTTTATTTTCAATTGACAGTTGAATTCTTACCAACGAAAGTTGTTTTTCACACAGAATTTGAATTGGGGGGTATAATATGTGTACATGGCAACGCGTTAGCCCATYGGATTGATGAGACGCCCCACTGTTCGAAGAATAATTTGCATGAGYTCAATCATCATAAACTAGGAGATCGCGTGACTGATTGAAGAGTGTTATACGGAGAAATGGGTTTAGTGTGATAGACAAGTCACGAATTTTTCCTATGAAYTSYCCTTTGCTAACCAGTACCCAGACATATTATGAATAAAATGACAAAACGCCCATATGGATCAACTGCGACCTTCTCACTATCAATGCTTGAGSATAAATCGCAAAATATGATTGCTCACTATTAATGTATAGTATTGATTTATATAACTCAAATTTAACCAGCTATGTCCTCATGCATAACCGAATAATATATMTTTACYAAGTGCAAATTGAGCKCAAGATTTACCATCATGACYCCTTCAAATGATGCACAGCTAATCTGAGTCAAAACSTTTCAGTCACATTTGGAATTGTAAAGTTGTAGAATTGTAAAGTAGCGTGTTTGTCAGTGAATTGTTGATTCATGAAAGATCTTAATTAAGTTTATTTTATTCTTATTCTTCTTATTTTATTCTTATTCTTAATATTACTTGTTCAATGCCATGCAAATACGTACTGTTCCCTTCTAAACCCATTTACACAAACAGGCACAGTTTTCACAGAATACAAAGAATGGAATGAATCGATTATTTTCTCCAGAAATAGTACATGAACAAGTTTTCAAAGATATATATATACTATAACTTCGTTGTGCGGTACTTGGTTGAAATGCAAGACTATTTCTTCAACAACTTTTTTTTCAGGTAGTGTTAGGTTCAGGCGATTATCATGTCGTCATCTTTGTTGCTCAACATTTTCTTGTGTCGATCGCTCATATCGTGAAAACTTCTTCCAGTGGCCATTTCACCCCAAAAGAGCTGAACAGGGACGCAGAGGATCGCTACAGAAAACGATATCATTGTGTGTAAAACTTGGTTCAAGAACTTCAAAGTTTCTTTGTTGTTCTGTAAGCGGACGGACAATAGCATGAAGACGACACTGACGAGAATGATGCACAGAGCATTCATCACATGTTGTGTGGTATTGTAGCATCTTTTTTGTGGCTTTTGGTCGTCGTCTGCTTCTTTATAACATATATTATGCATCCAGATCGCGATAAATCGATTGACGACGAGGGTACCAACRATTCCGAAATGTATGAAGATGTACCAGAAGCTATATRAGATAACATTTACTTTCATACCCCATGGCAGTTGTTCCTTGGTCGTTTGAGCACAACAACTTGGGCAAAGTTCTTCGTCGTAAAAGACAATCGGGGACCCTTTTGATGAAGAGTATAAAAATGGAAATTCTACAGTTGCGCATACAACTAGTTCTGTAAAGAGTATCATCCATGCCGTGTTGAAGCGAAGACTCCATATTGATGTGAGCTCGGTATACTTTATGGCCAGCAAAACAGCGAGGTTAAACCAAGCGAATGACAAGATGAACATCAAGATCGTGGGAAGTAAAGCACAGTAACGTTGAGGTAAGAAATCAAGAAATTCAAAAGCCAAACAACATGCAATAAGGATAAGAGAAGACACATTTTGTACAACAATAAGAAACTTCATGCTGTTTAGTTTTTCCCAGTTGTTTCTCCGACAACAAATAAACAAGGAGAGGACGTTGAGAAAAGTCCCCATAATGTAGAAGTACGTAGCGCTAAAAGAATGCCAAATCGCCATTTTAAGTCACTGTGAATCTTTTTTGACTAGGGAAGTTTATCTTGCACGGAGACTGTCGACCACTTGTTTCGTGTTTGTTGTGATTAAAGTCGCTTTCCTATTGGCTTTACGGTTGCTTAATCAACCTGACAAACCCGAGCAAAATGGAAATTTCAATGTTTCACGAAATCTTTTCAAAAAGATTAATATTTCTGTTACCTGTTTTTAAGGATGATTTTTTGATCATCAAATAGATCCTTCTAATAGAYAGATCGAATAGTGAGACTGAAAGACCCTGCTGACAATAAGAATTTTCGCGAGCGTGAGGTCACGTGAACATAGAGCACTTAATCAGGCTGCAATGTTGAATAAGTAACGTATGATTGAATGTTAATTGTGAAAACTAAATTTATTTGTTTGAAATCTTTCTTGTTGTATTTGTGTCCGCGGATCTGTCTGTGTTTTTATGAAAAGCAAAGTTCATAACGGATGAGTAACCCGGGCGCAAGACGCGGTGGAAGAATCCATGGCAATATCGTGTCTGTATTGTAAGTGTAAGAGACAGAAAAACACCTGCATTAAAATAAGAATCTTGTTTTTTGAAAGTATGGCAAATAAGGTTCTTGCTTTAAGGGATAGCTGTTGGTAATTTTTGCAAAACAGGTTCTTAAGTAGGTTATAGGAACATGCTTGATAATATTTGGCTAAAAAGGTTCTTATTTAAGGGGTTATTATGGCAAATTTCTGCCAAGAGGTTCTTTTAAATCTATTAGGTTTTTATTTTCGGGTGTTTACTGTACCACAGAGGAATGGCTCGATATATGGTTTTATTTCATCAAAACAGTAATAAAAGACTGCCTAGACGCCACGTGCTCTAAGGCTAACTAGTACGCATGCCCGCCACTAATTTATGCAATGTGTTTATAAACATTATATACGATCTGTTGGCAAATGTCTACTAAACGATTTCTTAAATCAATAGCTTAATGAGTCACATTAAGGTTCCACAAGGATTTGCAGACCTCAAAAATCTCTATGATTATGTTTCTCTMCGAGTCATCCACCATYTTGCGGATTTCCAAATATGCACGTATGTCTACRGRAAAAAYAAGTTACTTTTTATAGCTTTAAAGCACGTGGCGCCTAGTCTTGTACTAGTGCTTTGATGAAATAGTCTAAAACCATTTATCGAGCCATTCCTCTATGGTAAACACCCGAAAATATGAACCTAATGGATTAAGAACCTCTTGGCAGAAATTTGCCATTTTAATAACCCTTAAATAAGAACMTATTCAGCCAAACATTGTAAAACTCATGAATAAGTAATGAGGAAAATACAATAGAAATCACAACCGTGAAGATTGTTGTAATATTTGATACTAAACTGCAACGAGTGTTCGATGCCGTCAAACAATCACAAAGTCTTCAAAAATAAGAAGGTTCATATATTTACAGAAGAACAATTGTTCAGTGGACTAAAACATATTAAATCTCATCTGAACAATATGGACACCTTTTTCAAACGATACGTTCGAAGTTGAAATTACCAATACTACGTAGATATAGTCACATTCCTTGTTCAATTTACAGAAAGTGTTGTTATTTTTTAATGATTTGCGAGACTGCAAAGAAAAATACTACATACTAAGACATGAAAGTTGATATTTGAGTTCAACTATTTCGTTTTGATTACTGAGCAAACGATTTTTGGGATATACAAACTAGTTCCTTTGTCACACGGAACAWGTATTTGCCACAAGCACAATGATATTAAAGCTTCATTAATGACAAAACCAAACAAATACTGCATTTATTAAAAAATAACATTCTGCTATAAATATAAGGTCTATATGGCACTTTGGGAGCAACCACATGAGCTTTTTGAGCGCCTTTAATTCTAAATGAAGAAGGCCCAGTGTAAGATTAGTTTTAACTAGATTAGTTTTAACTAAACTGGTGTAATTTTTAATTACTTTTTAAACCTTCTTTAAATAAAGTTTTATTATTATTATTATTATTAATATTAAATGGCGACCTCACTGTTACAAATTTGTACAGATCACTGGCGGCTTATTAAGCCTCCATTTTTTGTGCATCTGTCCTTAGTGAATTGACAGTTCAAAGTTTTGATATTATCTTGCATAACATTTTTTATGTTTTTCTTCTTCTTCTTCGCTCCACTTCTCTTTCTCCCTCTTCGTTCTCATCTCTTCCATTGTCTTTTTGTACTTCCCATGCACTTTGCATTAGAACTTTTCAGGTTAAAAACAAAGTGTCATTCCTCGCACAGATTTAGTTTTTAACGTATAGGAGGGAGATCGATGCTGTTTTGTGTGGTGGACTAGTTAATTTGGCATCGTTGTGCTCGTGTTGGTGGTAGAAAATGCAAAATTTCTCCTTAAATCAGCCAATAATTTTTAATTATATACCTCCTTTCATGTCCATTGGATAATAATCAGTTCTTTTGTGCATAATTTTCAGCTCTYTTGAGCGTTTTAGCTACATTTTAGAGCCATCTAAAACAAGACAACTGTTTGCCGACGTCTGTGTGCCATTTTGTCTTCATCTCAAAGTTGAATATTTWATGCCTTTTGACGTCATGCTATTGTGACATCACAGTGTTGCAGACTTGTGGACTTGTGGATATTTTTGGATTGTTTACATCGGGCGATAACATAGTGGATACTCTACGTCCTTAAAAACGGAAGTAACCACAAAAACCWGAGGTATAGACTGGGTATTAATAAGAAGATATCATGTGTTCGATTTCGAATCCAAGCGCGCGCGAAAAAAAACGTCATAAAATAATAACTTTATGACGTGATAAAACTAGTGTTGACGTCACATTGACGTCATAATCATCGTCGTTAACACCGCAAGTGAAATTATATTTGTAACAAGTTAAGCTGCGAGCAAGATTAGTGCTAAAGTAATGAGCGAAAGACAAGGATATAATGGACCCGGAAACATGTCGATCTATGGATTAAAGCGGTTTACTATCGAACAGTCAAAGGAACAGTGGAGAGAAAGTATAAGGGTATTTTTTTTGTGCTTCTTACGATTGTAAAAACCATTCGAATTTTGTGTGCGATAATGAAAATAATGAAAAAAACCTACATCAGGTTTCAAGACTCCGCTACGCCTCGTACTTATACTTGTGTGTGAAACAACAATAGGGATGTCGAAAGAACGACATTTTAAATATTCTTGGACGAATACAAGTTGATGATCTATCTTCCCACAGTATAAGAATGTCCAAGAAGGTCCTAAAGGGGACATAGCGGTGGAAAAGACTTGTTGTGTAAAGGATCTACCAGGGACATGGAACAGCTAGCGGATGTCCTAAGGAATGTCACAAGGGTACTTGGGGGTGGGAAAGTAWATTGTAGGAACAAGGGAAAGTTAGAAAATGCTCCAGGTGGTCCACAAGGGGACTTGGGGATGCTAACGACACTTGTAGTGTAAAGGATCGACCAAGGACATGGGACCGCTAGCGGATGTCCCAGACGGTCCGCAAGGGTACTTGGGGATGGGAAAGACTTGTAGCGTAGGCCAGGGACAAGGGAAAGTTAGGAAATGCCCCAGATGGTCCACAAGAGGAATTGGGGATGGTAAAGACACTTGTAGGTTGGAGCGTCGACATGGGAAAGTAAGTCCATGACCCCAGTAGAACATGGGAATGGGATAGACAATAGTAGGGGAGACTTTGGGACTTTCCTATTTGAACAGGGACACAAAAGCTCAGTCCTGGACATAAAACATATGTTCTCCGTTTCTTTTTTCCAGCGAGAATGCAGAGGCACCAACACACATACAATAACATCCAGCAAAAACGAGAATCTAAAGAAAGCTTGGAAAGTCGACATCAACCCTTACTTCACAGGAGAAAAGGAATTAGAAAGAATAAGTTTTTATAACACAGGAAAGCAGGTTAGGTATTAATCGTTACAGTGAAGGATCTAGCATGTCTAGAGCAACGGGGAGAGGACACTTACAGGGACGGATCTGGGGAGGAGTGATCATTGGTTGGCTAGCCAACCCCTTTTCACTGGAAAAAATCGCGCGCCATAAAGGTTGTAAATTTGATGGAAAAATGRTGTAAGTGTCCAAAATGATGGAAATTTGATGGAAATGATTAACATCAAATTTACATCATTTTGGACACTTACATCATATATACATCAAATTTACAACCTTTAAAGCGCGCGATTTTTTCCAGTGTTTTGGAGTTCAAAAACAGAGAAACAGAAATTATGATGTGAGTAAATAGAAGAAATTAAATCTGAAAATGAGAATGAATCAGAAAATCACTGAAAGAAACTGCATTTTTCACTATCCTAAATCTATCAATTTGATATTTTTTCTTGGGTTAGTCACACCCTTTGTAACGGTCTGGATTCACCATCTCAGCGAGGTAGGAAAATTATTTTTATCATTTCCAGAGCAAGGCTCCATCCGTTTACGACAGGACTTTTCATATCGAAGAGGGCTACTACAGTAAACTCAAACGTGATGACCGTCAAACAAGACTAGCTCTCAATGTTTATGACGAAGTAAGTAACACGTTGTTAACACTTTGCGCTTATCTATGAAATACCTATATTTCTATATTTCGAAAAGTTGTTATTTTCACTAGTGAAAATAACACATTCGAGGTTTCTCTATATATTGCAAAAAAGTAAAAAAAAGATATTTTACGACATAATTTGCTTATTTATGTAATATACGACAAACAGAATATTACATGGTCGATTGGAGATATGAATTTTATCTACTCGTGTTGTCTTTTCAACACTCGAAGATAAAATCCGTATCTCCGCGCGCCCATGAAATATCCTTCATTTTCTATACGGTGTATATCAATTGCGAGCTAAAAAAGGCCGGAGCTCAGAATAAAGTTACTGTGTCGTAGTTTTAGACGTTCTTGATATGTGCTCAAATGGATTTAACAAACGTAGTTCTGACRCAACCACAATATTCGTATTTTCTCAAGTATCTACAGAATATAAATGGATGAAAATAAATAACCAAGTATAAAATAGGTCAAAATGACTTGACTCGAAACTACGCGACCGTGGATGAAAACAGCCTTTGAAGGTCGAAAGACGACCTTTATTAACGTAGTTGTGAACTATTGCAAATCTTATATTCTGATTGGCTACGCCACTCGGTGTCTATTTTCAATAGTCCTCGACTAGCGAAAAGCGACATTTGCGTATTTTTAGCAATAAAAACATTTAGTAGTTTTTCACATATTACGTTAATTTTTTGTCCAACTAGTATGGTAATACTAAAACAATTACATCTCAATGGATAGTGGACTTGGAGCTGTTATCAGCTCGTAGTCCACTCGCCCTTGAGGTCTTRTTGTTAATTTGCCGGATAGGAAACTAGTGGCCTGTGTAAAAATCGGGGAGATTTTTTTTGGAGGGGTGAGAAACGGATATACACAGGCTAGAAACTAGTAGACGGCTGAGAAGGTGTAATTATTCAAAACGACCATGTATCAAAAACACTGRCAAGAGTAGATTCAAATGTCGAATGTCCTTAAACATTCCAAAAGTATACAGACGGCTTTCTAATAYGAGTTTCTTGTTGTAGGAGAAAAACAAGACCGTTCCRACTCTCTCGTCATCTCAATACGGTCGACGTCCGCCGCTGGAAGCTCCATCACGGAGATACGTGCGTGTCTCGACAGTGAAGCGTGATTTTTACCGTGAAAGCGGCGCAAATATAACGGGAAACACATAAAAATAAATCGGCTGTGTCCTTAAGCTCATGTCTGTTAAATATAATTAAATAAAATGAMCTTTATTGACTATGCAAACTCTATTAATTTATTTCTAAAAAAAGCAACAGCAGTCCAGCAATAAGTAATTCTATAATTTYATTATGCTGTAGTTTCAGTGTCTTCATATAATTACTTTACCGAAGCAGACTCGTACCCAGTCGTTTGCTCTTTTTTTGCCACGAAAAGTCTCCTTCGCCCTTCCCTTCATCCATTGCGCGCCGCCCAAAAAGCGAGAAAAGCGCCTGAGCACAATTCTGCAACCGCAGACTTCAATGTTTGTAGTAACTCTACTGATATTTGAAAAGTTTAGAGTTATAAATTATATTAATAATACCYATTTTGTATTTGCGCTCAAAAAACCAATACGGAGTGTTCAGCGACGCCATTATTAAAAGCAAGAAATGTAGTGTTGAAGCTGTGAAAATTATAACCAGCATCAGTTTCGTAATTATCTTTGCTAAATTTCTATTTGACATTATTATTGAACTAACGAATTATTTTAATACTATACAATCAATAAATAAGAAGTATATTACATAGGGCACTAGAGTATAAAAACWCAAATTGATAAATCTACTGCATTTGGTCATTTTCTGCCAAAAAAAAAAACCTTTGAGGACGTAGAGCGATACWGCGTTAATAAAGCTGCCACCAAAAAGCTTGCAAACGCAAATAAAAATCCAAGTAACTTGAGTAATTAAGAATCAATCGCGACAACCGTTTTAAAATGGCTGCACACACACACAATCATGGAGTGAAGTCACTTTGGCGTTCTTTGTTTGATTCGTTGGCACTTGGGACATGAATCTTTTTTGAAACAAAGTCTAAGAAAAGAGGCAATTGAATTAGTAAAATACCGAAGGAATTTAAAGCTAAAATCGCTACGAAAAAACATCAATTTAATGATTATGTATGTCTTGTAAATTGTTTGCTGACCCCCATTTAAACCAGCCTACGCTGAATTGGGTGTCCTGTTGAAATATTGCATATAAATAAATAAATATATTAATTATAAAAGATTATTATCATCATTAATTACACGTTTTACCGTTCAATGACCGAACGGAAGGATTGAAAGCTTGAGTACAGTCTAGACGTCAAAAGGTGTACATCAAAATTACTATTACAAATCAATGTTACTATAATTAATTATGATTAATCAGATAAATAAAGTATGCGAGTTGGTACCTGTGGAATACTGTTCTGCAGTCTGTACACTGTATCGCGTGGGGATCAAAGGCGAATATGATCTCATCGGCTCGGCAGATCTCGCATACGAACCCTTTCGCTCTACATAACTGATACAAACAGAACCCTTTGTCATGATCGGTGTTTACTTTGTGGTCAACTAGTTCTCCTGAGATTCGGTTACAAAAACTACGCATTCATCCTTCCCTTAACTGAATGTTGCAAACTTCAGTGACTTTTTTTTTAATTTATTTCTGATGACTATATATCGAATTCCTGGTAAAAATAAACTGGGCATTTATTCGTTAAGATAGTTCGGAAGTGATGTCATATTTTGGACATCTTGGGACGTTGAAATGCAGGCAGTGGCATCACTAGAAATAATCAACTTCCTCGGATTCATTCATTTTTTTGTTTTCATACTAAGACAGTGTTTGAGATAAAACCGAATCTCTCACCAGACTACTCTCAGTCAACTCGAATCCAAGATGGCGGACGCTCTTGAGTTAGATGTTGGCAGATAAAAAGTGACGTCATGCTGAACGACTGAGAGTAAGCTTGGGGACGAGGCTAATACTACAGGGCATTTCATCGCTTTTCACATGACCGTTAGAACTATTCATGGCTCACAGTAATATGAACGAATGCCGTGCAGAATAAAGAAGAGAAGATTTGGCAGACATCTTGGTTTCTTTTGTTTGGTGCGCAAGAACATAAACGAGCACAACCGCAAAAACGCACAGCAAGAAACAATCCTAGTGCCAATTCGCTTACAAGACTACCACTAGTATTTTCATTGGTAGCACCGAAGTGAAAGCAAACGCAGCCCCAAACTTAAGCGCAAGAGAAGGAAACGTTTTGATCCTTGTGTTTCGGTTTGCGTTTTTAAATGTTTGGTCGTGCGTCGGTTTTGCAGGGTGTTTATGACTTAGGTTTTAGTCGTAGTGAAAACTAGGTAAGAACTAACCTCGCAGTCTGACTTGATGTGTGTAAGGAATAACGAATGAACTCGAGTGATGAACGGCAACATGGTGCCTCGTTCGACTTCCAGCAGGTCTTGAAGAGAATAGCTGCTTGAATTGTCCACAAAATGTTGACGGTCTTGCAGCTGGGATATAGAAAAAGAACTAAATTATGGTATGAAAATAATAAGAGATGTGAATAATAGCAAAACGAAGCAAAACAGAACAAAACAAAGAACACTGAAAATTAAAGCAAAGTGAAACGACGCAAAACAATCCAATCAACACAACACTAAGAATCGAAGCAGAGCAGAGCAGAGCAGAGCAGAGCAGAGCAGAGCAGAGCAGAGCAGAGCAGAGCAGAGCAGAGCAGAGCAGAGCAGAGCAGAGCAGAGCAGAGCAATGTCAAACAAACAAATACAAAATGGCCTCCTTACATGGAGAAGTAGTTTGCTTTCGAGCGCAGAACGACAGCTCATGAAGTATTTCTTCATTACGAGGATTTCCTCTCTGAACCTCTGCCAGTAACAAAAACATTGTTAATGCCATTATATCATCGTGATTATAGAGTATAAAGAGTAAAACATTGAAAACTTCTACATACTTTTGATTGTACTGAATTATGGGGATTTCTTTGTTTTCTATTGTCTAATCTATGCCATATAACGCTCTTTATAGGAGTATATCTTTCTTTTCTCTTCCTCTCTCACTACCTCACTCCCTCTCCCGCCCCTCTCCTACCGCAACYTCTGAAACTAACCTTAATATCTCGTAATTCACCAACGAACTTAAACAGTGCTGGATTAAGTTGGTCGAGGTCTAAGATAGGTTTCTTGGCCATAAGGTCAAGGAACTGYTTTGTCTGACGKGAAACCTGTTTAGGGAACATTGGAAATACATTTAACACAAGTCAGTCGATTATCGTGTGGGTAGTGTAGTTTATCGTAAAGCGGTGCGATGTTGCGAAGTGTAGTGTGGTGAAGGGTAGCGTATATTAGTGTCGTGTCCTTTGGTGGRGTGCAGTGCAGTAGTGTGATTTGGTGTAGGTTGGTGTGGTGTGTGTGGTGAGAGGTGTTGTGTAGTGTAGTGTTGTGTAGTGTTATTGTAGTGTGTTTTGGTGTGATGTGTAGTGGTTTGGTGTTGTGAGTTTAGGCGAAAGTGGTCAAACGTAGCATGGCTTTCTGACAACTGTGGTGTGGTGTGGTGTGGTGTGGTGTGGTGTGGTGTGGTGTGGTGTGGTGTGGTGTGGTGTGGTGTGGTGTGGTGTGGTGTGGTGTGGTGTGGTGTGGTGTAAACACGTAAATTCTCTCTTCGTTATGTCGTAGGTATCACAGATTCAGGTTCCGTTCACTGTACCAATCAGTTGACCTGTATGGCTACCAGCAATGCTGCATTCTTAGCAACCTTTGTTCCCTATACTACTCGCGAAGGCCATCAGACAATTGCTTCGGATACTTCCCTCCAAGATGGAGTAAGTCCCTTACAAAAACATCTCCATCAGTCATCGTATTTTGATTTAAAATGTTTTTATATATTTTAACTTTTCAAAATTGCCACTATCATATTTGTAGTATTTTAAGAAAGTCACAGCATCTTACATCATCATCATT